AATGCTGCAACTCCAATGGGAACCTTAGATTAAGCCTAATCCTCCAAACTTTGGAAGTACTACGTCCAAAAAGGAATCCTTCCTTATGAATCAAAGGGATATTTTGCTGTGAGATCCGTGCCAACACCGATCATGTGACACGGTTAGGTAAACACAAGCAAAGCAGTGTACTCACCCCCTAAACCTACACAAAAGCTTATATCGATAAACGCCTGGTGGCAAAAGGTCTCTCTGTTCATCTGGTTTGTCTTCCTGGTTTGGAGTCCTATACAGGGATTTTTTTGGTGCCGCTGAAGTCGGAAATACGGACCTTAAGCTGCCCTATCGTTGTACTGTTGGGCACCATTTTTATGAGTAGATGAATAGGTTGTGAGGGAGTATCGCTAACGAGGGGGTTCCGAGATCATTGGTGGCATGAACGTAACACTACTAGATTTAAATTGCTCATTTAACTTATCGGCTTTCCATCCATTATTATCATATATTTTTCGTTTTAACTTTAATTTTTTTACTTATTTTTGTTTCATTCACTTATTTATATTTACTTTATTTTGCACAGCAGTTCAGGGATGTGATAGGGTGCGGTGCCTTTTTGAAATCTCCCGGAATATAACTGCAATTTGATGGCTCTGAATTTTACTTGCTTCCCTTCATCCTCACAGTATGTAGACTAACCTATGTAAACAGCTTTTTTTAGTGCGAGGTATGCTCAGCGTATTCTGATCTAGCTCTCTGTAAATGAATACGACGATTTATATCTTTGTGTCAAAACGTTTGCATGTCAGAAAAATGAGTATGAACTTCTGGCACGGTTGTAGAGTTTCGCTTATTTCCATACGTGGCTCAGATTGGCGTGCAGAATGATACGAAACTGTTCTGTCCAGCCGCACACACACAGGGAGGCCACGACTCGTCCAAGGACTGCTTCCTGATAAGACAGCCAGCAACGTACGAGATCCTCTGTGGGACACACGGAAAACCACCGAATTTGTACGGAACTTTTCTAAATCAATGACTTATTGGCCGTTTCAAAACTGTTCCGGATGATGGAATGTGTGAGTTCCGTTCTTGGTTTTCGAGACGAATTATATCGATCGAAACTAGTGGGATGCTAATTGGGTCTCCCAAATGGTATCGATTTCAGGCCAAATGTCGAGGAACACTGTCGGAATAGTCATAGTTTAGCGGTGGTTCTACTTGCGCCGAACCTATTTTGAGAGACGTTCCAGGGGGTTCACTGGTTATCACGTGATTTATCAATCTTTGTTTTATCAGATCGCTGCGACTGGTAGCACTGCTTCTTGTCTTATAATTTCAGTAATATCCGTAGTTTGCTGTCCAACTCATCCACTTTTGAAGGGAATAGGACAAGGATGTCACTCACGTAAGGATTGTTTTAAATTTTACAATCCTAGAGAAACAATCTCCAGCCGGTTGTGCTACTGAAGGATACCAACCACATGTTCCAGGAAGTTGATTCAGCACCACAAACCAAGGGTTTCGTTTGTGTCCTTGCGTCGGTTTGTTAACAAAAACTCACAAATCGAGGTGAATCGGTAACGATTCAGGAAATTAGATGTAAACAGTGTCCCATTCCTCTCAGTCTTATGCAGATTCTTCCAATTTTTCATGGTTCTTGAAGGGTTCAAGACGCTTCCAAACCTGTCAGGTTCATTTGATTCTTTGGCGTAAGAGGCGAAAATCGTTTTGGTGTTTTTTTTCTGCGATGCTACGGTCATCACATCAAGTTATTTTGTGCAATCAGTTAGCCAATTTTGTCTGCATTTCACACTGTAAACTGTCAGACTTGGTACCCTTATGTAGTAACCTTTAACCGCCGGTCTGGGGTGGAATTCTTGATGACAGAAACACAGCGTCAATCGTATTACGAAGTTAAAATGACAGAACTAGGTGACTCCAGTGAGAAATAAATCAAAAATACGTTCTTCTGATAAAATTAGGGTAGTTTTTATTGTTTTGACAGAATATACTACTCATAAGGCTGTTGAGTGTTCGCCAACCGTCGACGACCGCTTTCGTCCTTCTTGGGACTCATCAGGTGGGCTCACACACTAATATTTGTAATGTGGGAAAAATTTTTGAGTATTATGCGTGACTTCATCCCATCAGCCTACGCCAAAATCCGGGAGCGGCTACACAGCTGTTTCATCCTCATTGAGGAACAACAACATTCTGTATCTCACGTAAATCCAGGGAGATTCTAATGCGGGATCTCACGACCACCAGTCGAAGACTAAACTTTTCCACCACGAGCTGCTGAGCAGCAATGTAACTGGTCCACATTTAGACAGGATGTAATGCTTCCCATGCTTTGATTACGCGACCATCATTGCCTGCCCACGTGTTGACTGGCTCCTTGAGTGACGAATTCTTAGAAGGTGCAATCGTCAAATGAATCATTCTTTCTTCTGATCTACTTTAAGTTTGTTGCACCGCGCAACACACCGTACAGTGCAGTGGTAACCGAACGCCTGTGTCAATGAAAATCTCAACCACCCCCCTTTTAAACACACTAGGTCATCTATTATGCCACATATCCAACAAGTCAGTGTTTTGCTGTGTCAGCGATACCAGATTCATTTAGCCCAACTCTTTTGCTAGTTTGCCCACCAGCAGCTGTTTACCGTCCTTGATCCAGAAAAACGTGTCATTGTGCACCTACAATGAATGTGCTTGGAAGCGCATTTCGTGGAGGCCAGGTGTGAATCATCATCATCATCATCACCATCATCATTATCACCTTCAACTGTAAAATACGCGTACATGTTTTATCATGGTTATAGTTGCCACGCTTTCTTTCGCTGGTGACATGTGGAAGTAGGGGGTTGAATTCCACGCAGTAGAGTCCGTAACGTGGAAGCTTAAATACTGTGGTGTATGTGGAATAGTCACTGGGGAAGATCTGGAAGGAAGCTATACAATGAATGCAACAGCTTGGATGCATATGTACCATTGAGGTAGTAACTGGGCAATTTCTGTCAGTTCCTCCAGGTGATGTGTTCCATATCGGGAGACAAAAATGACCAGTGCAGCTGAGTTGCCGGCAATGGATTCCATACATTGTAGCCGAGTCATTATTTTCACGTGCTTACTTTCAGAGCCCTGCACATAAGACCTTTTGTTCGGACCATGGGCTGATTTTTAAGCCTACTGTAGTGGAATTACCTCCTCAAATGCCACAAAATCCAGTTCTCCGAGACGTAGCTCAAGATCCTTGTTTGTCTGAAGAATGTCCCTTGTAATTGCAGTGAATTTGTTCCAGACAACTTAAATCATACGGATTTTTTCGGTATCACGTTAATCTGTCTGTAAACACTCGAGTACGATGAACAGTGGTGAGCGAAGCCTTTATCCTCAGTTCCTGCCCTCTCATTCCGATGTTCTACAGGCTTCCTGCGATTCCCGTAGCTGTTCACACGAGTCATCTTATGATTGTCCGTTCCTGTTGTTTACACTCAGGTGTTTGCAATAGCGTGCTGATTTGGCTTAACCAATCTGCATGCTGTGTGCCATCTCATTCTAACTCCGCACTGACCACGATCGATTACTGTAGTTCGTATTTCAGTGAGTCGGCAATGTAGAGGACAAACCTGGACCGCTTGCGTGGATTACCGGTTGCCTGACACCCACTGGCATGACATTGTCTTTCTTCCAACTCCCTTGCTGTATTCCCAATGGTACGATCTGCGTAGCCTGGGCTGTTATGGTCGAGGATATTTCTCACTGGTGTTGTAAAGACACCAAAAATGCACCCAGTTTTGAGACCCTCGGAACAGGGAGTGAGCTCCCAGCAGTAACCGGCAGTTCTAACAACAGCATCCCTCCTATGGTTCTATCAGCGCTTGCCTTAGCAGCTTAATGGATCTATTTGTGGCATTTGTTCTACACTCTTGGTATTAAATCCTCAAGTGAATTGAATTTGTTCCATTTTCGTACTGTAGGTTGCCTAACTGACACCTGGTGAAATATCAGACAGAGCTATCAGTGTGTTATTTATCCGAATAATCCCAGTACATTGGTTGTACCAGGGTTGATAGCACTCAAACCTGTGACAGTCCATTGCGCATGACTGGTCCAATGTTCCCATCAGTCATCCAGTTGGTCTTGGTGAATCAGTGGCCCAAGGTGACAGTCTCGTTGGTGGAATCCTTCCAAATAGTACCCTATCTGTCTTTGAACTTCAACTAACTTTGGAGAATATCAACTGGTATTGATGTCCGCACAGACGAAGAACGTGTTCAAAAGTCTAAAGACAATAAAAGCCGAGATGGCCAAATATTTCATCAGTCTATACGATTACCGGAGTGAGACCAAAATTAGAGAAAACCCATACATACAGAAGGGTGAAATTTCACAATGATGTACAAAGGAAACATAAATTGCTTATGCTTTTATTGAATATAGGAACTGTGAGAACGTTCAAGTAATTCTGTTTCTTCATTGATGGCGAGTTTTTTGTTGAACCAAGACGGAGCTGGAGTTCGTACTGCTGCCGAACGTTGGCCCACCTTAAAACAGCTCTGTCGATAAAGGTACACCGCTGGGGATGCGTGGTATTCCAGTATTCGGCCTCATTTACGACTTCTGGAGTTGGATCCCAGTCTCGACCAGTATCGACCAAATGGGAGACGAAAGCTGTAAATCATGAGTAATGTCACCAGGTGAAACAAGATGTTTTTCCTCAGAACATTTTCTATTTCAAGGAGGGCGTCTTCGTTTTTGTGTGCGCGCGCGATACCAGTATGAATACAATATGAAGAATCTCTGACGTATGATAAGGTAATTGAATGCCGTCCACCGAAAACATTGTTACTGGACAGCAATAAACAAAGTTAGATCACGGTAGGTAAGTGCAAAATGAAAAAGCTCTCGTTTTGAGGTGAAAACTGTTTGAGCGACGTAAGATCAGCTTTTGTGAACCCAACGAGATCTAGGAATTCTTTAAGGTAACTTACTTTGAGGGTGAAGTTTAATCCATTTCATACCAACCCTCGGTGGGCACACTTTGGTGTACACCGTTCCATTGGAGAAAGTGGTCGATGAGATGAGGTCACTGTGGCTAGGCTATAGGTGGACCCACATACCTGAGTTTCGGCTGTGTGGGCATAAAGTGAGTCTGTTCGAGTGCCTATTGATGACATCAGCAATGGTCTCCTATCAAGTGGAAATTGATCAAAACCCAGATGACCTTGATGACGCGTTGCAGCGTGTGTTGGAATTGGTGGCAGAGGGGTAGGAAGTGGGACAACACATACAGAAAGAGGTGATTGTCGAAAATCAAATGATGGCTGTGGAATTCGAGCACTAATCGGTAAAATTTGCCTTGGAGACATCTGGGCATCTGGGAATTGTCCAATTTCTCGAGCCCCAAGTCTCCTTTCCAGTTTAGAATAAACATTTCCGGTTGAATTCACACGGCGCTCTCGACAGCCTGTCTGGAGCGGAAGCATCCTAATCTGGTCCGTTGAACAAGTAAATGGGTTGCAGTCTTGACTGGGTTGTTGGCGACCAGCGATTTGGTTCGAGATATCCGTCCGTGATCCAGGTTGCATGGTCTGTGGACTATTCTGTAGCACAGTACTACCGTTAAGAATGAGGCCATCTTTCTGACAAGAATGCAGGGGAAAGTGTCTGTTAGACCCAAAGGCTTTTCTATTTATGGCCGTTCTTCTCGCACAAAGCAAACAAATCGCGGGGAAAAATCCCATCAGAATTCCCAAGGTGATTAATCCAAAACAAATTAGTAGAATTGTAAACCGGTTAGCGTTTTGCATGTGAAAAATTATGTAATCTATTTTTCCCCTAGTCACATTAGGTGCGCTGAGGTCTGTTTGCTCCGTTGTCAAGGCCTGTTGTACTGCTGTTGATTGTTGTGTTGTGACCTTGAATTGATCAGCGGACTTTCCGTTTGGCTGTGCGCAACTGTGGCGGGAAATGGTCGAAATTACCTCACGCATGAAACGTCGAAATCGAGGGATTAATGCAGAATCTGGTGAACAGACATTCAAAACTTCTTGACGGTTGTGAGGCAAAACACCGTCTGATGGCACAGATAACGAAACTCTTTCGAGTTGTGCACTGCTCATCCCAAGAATATACAACGCTACTGTTAACGAACCGGAAGGGTCCAGCTGATGGAGTTGTAGGTTGCCTTCCAAATAGAGCCTTCGTAATTTTGGTAATCCTCGGAAAGCATCAGGTCCGATCCATTCCAATAGATTATTAGCTAAATTCAACTCTTCCAAAAAGCAAAGGCCTCCATGACTAGTTTGTCCTGAATCACACAAGCCAGACCATTGGTAATCTTCAATAGAGTTGATTCTGTTCCCTGAAATATCCAGTCGTTTTAACAAAACGGTAGCGGCCAGTGCTGTGGATTGCTTCTCACTGTGGTAGCCGAGAGAATCGGACAAGGAACCGGAAAGTTGATTCCTTTCCAAACGCAAACTTTCCAAATTGTTCAACCCGCGCAAGGTGCCCCAATCAAAGCGTTCTAATCGGTTATCGTTCAAACTTAGAACACGCAGGTCACATTGTTCAAACAGTCCGGCCGAAATTGTTCGAAGAGCTGGGTTACCATTCAACTCTAGTGTGCTCAAACTGGATGGGCAGTATTGGAAAACAAATCGTCCTAGATGATGTAGATTGCGACTATTGGATACTTTAACAAAGTTTAATTGTGGCAGAAAAGCAATAAATCGGTCAGGCAGGAAGACCAACGATGGAACTTGTATAACCAGGCGTTTCAAATTCAAGATGGGGCGAAGAAAATGAAGCGGTATTGTGTTAATCTGACTCTGTTCCCATATGGCTAAACGACTAATTGAACCACACGAATGTAATAGGTCTGGAGAAGGTGACACATTGTTCAAATCACCAGGTACAGCAATTTCAACATCATGATCCGGACTATTCAGAATAACCAAATGTAATATATCCCAATCGGCGGCACATTCGAGTCGATGCATGTTGGAGGGAATGTGACAACTAGCCACCACTGTGTGGTTTTTCTTGGTCACTTTTCGGCCGCCTTCACCGGGTTCACATTTACAGAAGGATGGACATGTGGTTGATGCGGTTGGTTGAACTGCAATGGGCTGATGCGTGAACACAGTCAGCAGAAGAATGAACCAGTGAAGACACATGGCACTGGGGCCACCGTATTCCCAACACACGCAGATCAAGTACAAATTCAAGTTGAATTGTCATGTGTGGAACGAGAACAGCTCGGTGAAGCGTTCATGATTCGCTCTTGTTTACAGCAAGCCATCTGGTTGATTGGACGTGGACTATCTCAGTGCCAGATTGAACACGTGGACGTTGCGATTCGATTTAAATGTGGTCGTGTGTCTGTGATGTGCACAACTTATGAGCTGCCCCCGCTGCATCGCTCGCACGCACAGTTGTAGTGACACACACACACGAAAGCTGCGTTGTATCCACCTCTCGAGCCCAAAAGAACAAATAAGTGCAAAATTCGGAGTGGTAATCTCAATCGCGATACCTCAGGTGGGCGTAGCAGCTAACTAGCACAATTTTTACGGTACGATAAATCAAAAAGAGACAGGTCCTTCAGAATCACCGTTGTCATGACAAACGCGGGAAGCGCAACACCTCAGAGACTGAATAATGGATGAAATGGTACACGATGCAAAAATAGGACCTACCGGCTGGTCTCTACACCACCTGTGCAGTGTCCCGAGCATGCACTGAGAGAGTAGCACTACTCTGCGATTGAAAAGTGCTATTGGTAACATCTTTCACGTAGTTGTTTTGGAATCTTTGCAGATCGCCAGAATGAGGATGGTGGACAGTTTGAAGGCGTCTGTTTGAAATTCTATCCGGGAGATAAAATCGCCTCCAAACTCCCTCCCCGAAGGAAGACAATGACCCCGTTCTCATTCCGCCCGAAACTAATTGATTATTCACCCAAAACTATCTATTATTTTTACACGCCTAATTCGTCTTCCAGTCTTCGAGTCCACAAAACAGTACTTGTTTCGACGAGGTGCCCACATTTAGGTCTTTCACAATCTATCGACCCATGTTAATTGACCGAATTAGCTGGACAAACACCAATGAATAAACTTAGTTTTACGGGTTGAGAAAGACGCCAGGAATCATAAACCGAGGAAAGTAAGGACGAATTGGCTTCCTTGAATCTTCGGTCCATTGTGAGGGGATGTTTGCAGTTGCAGTGACTCTACTGGCCAGTGAACTTCGATCATTTTTAAGGAACAGGCATTTCTCACATTCCAGCCCCTTACTGGTACAACAGTAATCGGTGTGCTACAACTCCATGGCTTCGGATTGTTCAAAATTGCTTTCCACGGTTGCGAACCCGACTATGTGCTACTCGTGTAAAAAGGAAAGCTAGGGGCTACTAGTGAAACATCAATCAAACTTTTACAAACAATTGAACCATATGCACCATATTTTCGAAAACTGAATATTCTCAAATGTTCTCTTCAACATTCGTAGATATTCATTGACTGTCACGCAAATGTAAACGAACGCTGCGAAGCATTTCCGCAGATTCCGTAATAAACTTCATGGGGTGTACCTTCCATTGGACGCCAGGCGGATTTACGAGAAAACCAAATACTACTTACGTGCCTCGACAGTAGTATCGACAGTTACACTTGCAACTTTAGGTTTTAATGCACCGGATTTCGTGGCTGCTGGGCGGCATGCAGTTTTTATAGTCGTGGATTCGGCGTGTTATGAAGCGGTTTGGGATTCTTTATCAGGACTAGTTTGGGATGCATACAGTGTTGTCACGTGGATTAATATGGAGCACGGTAATTCGAGAGATGTGCTGTAGGTTATGAGAGTTGGTACGGTTCCTCAGTCAGGCTACGAGCAATTCACTGTAACGTGAGCTCAGTCGTTTGACGGGAACTAACTCCGAATGACTATTCAATGCTCTAAGCTAATAGCTTACTGAAAAGCAGGATGTCCTTTTCCACAGTGCCCTCATTTCAATGACGTCTAATGAGAGACTGCCCAAACACAATGAAGATAGGGACAATTACCAATGAGCAGATTGCAGTAGCACCGGAAACTAATGAAGTCAAGGGATTTACATATATCTATGAACCATTTGCGTCTCAGTTCGCAGATCCTTGAATCGCACTTTCAAAAATAATGTGGATTATTCTGCCTCAAATGCTCTTCTAAACAAGGGTATGCTGTATCTGACTGCTGTCCCCGCTCTAGTGCCTCTGCGCTGAAACACGACAGCTTACTGAAGACGAGCTAGTGCGAAAGTACAACAGCCTCAAGCTGTGTAATGAAGGTCACAGTTTGTCCTTGATCCATAGCTATCTGATTGGCGTTTAGTGGAGTTTGAGGGTATCCGTAGGTTTCGGGTATCCTGTGATAGTCTTCAGGAATCTGACCTTCCTGACAGGTTATTTTGTCCCACAGAAATTTTATGGCAGGGCAGTGCCGCTCGATCTGCGTCAAGGTCAACTCTGTCTTTAAGTTAAAGGCAAGTCGATCATTTTGATAACCCAAGCATATAAAAAGCAGAGTGCTGGCAAGATCCAGTTTGGAAATTATGCTATATAGTCGGTCGAAATCCACTAATACAAGGTGGAATCCTAGCATCCATTTTGTGGATTGTGTTCCACCACGGGGTGATTGAAGGATGGTTGGTGACGTATTTGAGTTATTCTCTAGTTAACCACACCACTGACCAGTAGCTCCTAGACTGAAGTCGACGACGGAACAATTGGTAATCGAACTCCGAAATGCCACTTCCACATGAAGAACTGATTTTGATTTTGCAACACCAGCAAGCAAATTTGAAGAGTTTCAGCTGAGGTTAGTCTAAGCAATCCTTCACAAATTGGAAATTCAAAGTCTGGCTACAAGTGAAACGAAGAAATCCTGTGTTGACGCTGTTGCGAACTGTATAGTTGATTTTCACTAGGATGCAGAATCCAATCCCATCCCCGTCGCCAACTTGCTGTGGATCAAAGTCCCTTACTGCCTTCTTATTACCGTGAACCCCAGTCTGGATGGCCGCTTGACCGCCCGGTGCATTTGACCAAACCATTAAAGTCGAAGAACCTGCGAGCCAGCTGCTCTGTTAGTCACGTCGCGTACAAGCGCTCAAAAGCGATACTAAGAATACAACTCATCTGTCAAGGGCGAGTGAAGAACAACCAATGAAATCTGTCTCAACGAAAAACGGTTATTCCATTAGCAGTTATGTAGTCGCGTTACGTCCGGAGCTGGTTCTCCTAATAACGTCCTCTACTGGAAGGGTTGTGGCGGGTTCGAATCTACTTGGGTATTCGCAAGATGCCGGTGATTTCCAATCAGGATAAAACAACTGTACAATGCTCCTTGGCTCTCCGGTGTAGACTGACTTTACTTTGAGGCTGAAAACTTTATTGAAAATTTTTTTCAGTTCCTCTCATACTACCAATAACTCGTACGGTAAGGCGTTTCCGTGAGTGATAAACTGGAAGCTAATGAATCGTGCAGATTCAAGGAAGATAAGATGGCGAGTTAAAGGGAATAGTAGATCAAACTGAAGAACAAGGAAAACATTTGTTTTCGTCTGTAGGACTTCTGGAATGAAGTTCCTTCTGGCATCTCATATCTTCTTGTCAGTCGTACCAGATGAATAGTTAGGACACCGCCAATTGGGAGAGTTGTTTAAGATACAGACGGTCAAAGAAGCTAGTTTATCATCTCATACAGGGGCTTGATTATCCCTTCTGAGTAAGGATAAGCCACCAAAAAAGGACCAATTTGTCCAGGTGTCAGTTACGTTCTCTACTGAGAGTACACTGGATATTCCAAAGTGGAGTCATACAAATCGTTCTATTATTGGTGATAAGACTGGTTGTGGCAGTTTTGTGTCTTCTCTCTTCAACATCTCCGAATGAACATCCAGAAATATCTTGTCACTAATCTATTGCAGTAATGAGTACCAGTGAACGTCTCCAGAAAACTTTTGCCCCCCCTGAATGGACGAACGGGAATGACCAGAATGACCAGCGAGGTATGAAAAAACGGTGAAAGAACTAGCCAATTAAAAAAAACAGATATCTCACCAGTTTTGGCTTAACATACTGCCTTCTGAAACCGGTTGACAATCAGTCACTTTTCTCAATTATAGATGCGTACCACAGATTTCAAAACAGCATGAGTTCGACCACTGTCCTAGATGGTTTTACAAACGCATACCGAAGAGGAGATTTTGTGAGTATGATAGTCAGTACTCCACGATGCGCTGCGGTTTCGCAGTGATTACTGGTCTTCAGAATCGGTGATTTTCAATGGTGAAGTGATCTTGCAGTTGAACAACGCCCAAGGCAGCAGAGAGTTCTTGAAACTTAAGATGATATACTTGGTACGCTAATGTCCTTTGCCCTGTATCTGCGGTGAATGAACTATTCTAAGTAGCGGTGTCCGAGTCATGATCCAACTGATGGCCATATCTCAGGCCCAAACAGTATCTAGGGGAATCATGTATCTGAGCATTTTGGAAACAACCATATATTTTAGGTGCTGGCGGTTGCGGAATTTTGTAGAATACATCCTCGCATGACTCCTGTTTGAACAACCATCGCCCTATCCCTACACAGTCATTCTGGTGAGTCCATGCCAAAGGGGGGAAGCCTCGGACTCGAGTTTTGCTTTTACCAGAGCATGCGTGATGTGAGCGAAACACTCGACGCCTCAAACGATGACCCAGTAACTTACCATGCTTGTGTCGATCGACTGACCCGCCAGTCAGAACCTTACAGTCAGGTAGCGTTACGGACCCAGTTTATTTAGGGTGTTTCAGCTTGTTGGCTGTTGTGTTTTCGATCGTGAAAAGGGCATTCCTCGGGAAAGCGGCTTGTTTGTTGCCTTTTTAGTTGCACTTGAAACCTCAGTGACCAAGAGACCAACACTACTGAATTTTACAACCAAATGAGGATCGAGCCCCATTTTAGTCTTAACAACAGAACGGGTATTAAAGTCGATCCTACTTAGACAGTCACGATCGATTCAAACCGTCCGAAAAAACGTATAATTGCACGGTAAAAATAAACACTCTCATCGCTCGCTTTGTACACAGCAGCACTGGCCGCGGAAAACCATGGTTTATAGACTGAACAACGATCTACAATCGATGAAG